AGATTTGAACACAAGAAGTTTAGGCCAGCAGACCACTGTGCTACCGAAGCTCCAAAAAACAGAAGATTTAATCATTTCTTTTGCAAGAAAATGCTGCAACAAAGGAAACTGGTGACCTCATCTCATTTCGCTAAGACCTATTAGATGTGAATGTCTAACATTAGAAAACAACAGAAATGTTCAAAGTTGTACTCCAGAACAGATTAAATGCTCTAACAATTACAAATATGTTTACTGATCGACAACAAGCACAGTGGATACACTACGCTGCTAAATGGTGCAAAATCACAGACTAGGAACAAGCAGTTAGAAAAACGGACTAAGATTATTTAAACATGGGCATCAGGACAAATGGGACAAACATCATGAAAATGTAAAGGCAGTCTCTTAGACTACTTATGGCAACTCTGGATGTAAGTCACGGACTCTTAATAACTGAAGAAAAAAATCTTAGCTCTTCAATTGAAATGCTAGAGAAAATTTCTTCAAATACCGGAAAAAAAAAGGGGGGGGGGGGGGGGGGGCAGACATCCTATATTATTTGATTCGATTCAAGAACCGACATCACAGCACACGGGGCATTCCCACAAGCGCTCCAACCCCATCTTCAGCAGCTAGTGAAGAGATCCGATACTAATGGTGCCAGTAGCATTCTGATTAAACATCCGTCTTGCCTTTCCTCTGAGCCTCGAGTATCTGCCAGAACCTCTCGTCACTCCCCCCTGCATCAATCTCACTAGACTGTGGTGATCCATCTGCTCCTCCGAACTGTACACGCTCTCCCACAAGGCACTAACCACACCTTATCATGTATCAGTATTCCACCAAGTTGTGCAGAGCCAGCCAGTCTGTCTGTTCCCAGCCAGTCTGTCTGCCTATTCATTTCCCAACACACCAGCGTTCCTCGGTGAAAAAATCCAGACAATACTCCTCATCTGTGTCCTCCGCAGCGAAGCATGCCACTCTGCACAAAGCATACCTGTTTTGATCTTCCTCAGCATACTTTCTGAGTCAGTTACAATCATGATATATATATATATATATATATATATATATATATATATATATACATACATACATACGTAGGTATGTGCGTGCGTGTGTGTTTGTGTGTGTGCGCATGTGTGTGTGTGTGTGTGTGATGCTCTCTAGCCAGCATAAAGCTGCAATGACTGCCTCCACCTCCATTCTTAAGCTGGATGTTGTGGTATCATATGCTAGGCTCTCCTGAACAAAACGTCGACCATTAACTTTTGCTAAGAAGCCCCAAGCACTTCTTTTGCCTCTTGACACCTTTATGATCTGAGCACAAAGGTAAACTAGCCATGTTAAACATGATGGTGGCCTGAAGAGAAAGGTGGTCGGGAGAGAATGGTGACCCGGGAAAGAATGGTGGCCGGGAGAGAATGGTGGCCGGGAGAGAATGGTGGCCGAGAGATAATGGTGGCCGGGAGAGAATGGTGGCCTGGAGAGAATGGTGGCCTGGAGAAAATGGTGATGGAATGTACAGTTTCTGGAAAATGAGGCAAAGGCAGTCCTCCGCCAAGGTGGATACAAGTCACTGATGATGCACTGCCTATGAAAGCACACAGGGCTGGAGAATTGGCTAGAGAAAGAGAGAATTTCAGGCGTGCCGTGACGAGAGCGACAGTCTACAAAAAAAGACCTGCTGCCTGATCACTCCTTTAGAAAAACTGGTAGCAGGGTGTGAAGTGAATGAATGAATCAGGAACTGAAGTTTCTGCACTCTGACATTTCCATATGTGCTCCGTCTTCATCCTCAGTGGCCAAAGCAGAGTTCCCATACCGACAGTATCAGATACAACCTGACTGAAAGCACAGCTGTCACCCCTCCACCAACCCCCCCCCCCCCCCCCCCCCCCCTTTTTTTCTCTCGACTGCTTCAAGGAAAATGGTTTAGTGAACTATAAGCCGCTAGGAGTGGTAGAAAGGGCAGTTTAAAAAATACCAATCATTACTACACATGGAATAAATGCCCTCATTTGTTTTGTAAATGTTGTGATATACAACAGTATACCCTACTGTTATCACTGCCCAAAAAAAAAAAAAAACTTAAGTTCCCTTAGCAAGGGCCCATAACTCTAAATTCAACAATATGACAAAAGAGAATAATCTAGAAAATGCATGTTCAAACTTAATGTTAGAAAAAATACTCTTGGTAACAAGAAATTAACCATGGCAGTGCTCAATATTTAGTGATTTGATTTGATTCAAGAACAACACTCGGGAAATTCCCATAAGCAAAGATGATAATGGTGGTGTGAGAGAGTAAAAAAGTAAACTTAAAAATTATCCTACAATAATTTAAAAAAACTAAAGGATCTGTTTCACACCTTAGACATATAGGCATATGGTGCTAAAACTAAATTTTTACGGGCTAATCAGCCCTGGCAACCGCTGTAGTATAGTGGCTAGACTTTCAACTGCTTGCCCCAAAACATTTTTGATTTGAATCCGTACCAGGCAGACTTAGAAAAAAAAATTTGCTTGGCTTTCAAGTGGATCAAGCCTTCAATGGGTACCAGGAAGTATGTCATGGGAAGTGCTGACAACAAATCCCACTGCGTGCTGATTGGTCTATACAAATATGAGACTAGCATCATATACTTGTCATAGTACAGCCGTCAAGGGATGTGTTAATTTTGGGGTTAGAAACATCATCCTGTAATAAGCTTCAGCCACCAAAGCTAGCTGTAAACATAGTGAGGGTCCATGCTCCAATTGAGCAAAAAAGAAAGAAGACAAAGAAAGTGGACGTTCAGCAATCCGAGAAGTAAAAAGAAAGAGGAGAAGGAGGCGATTACAGGAGAGAAAGGCAGGAAGAGGAAGAAGCAGGAGAAGGAAAGGAGAAGGAAGAAGCAGGAGAAGGAAAGAAATAGGAGGAAGCAGGAGAAGGAAAGGAAGATGAAGAAGCAGGAGAAGGAAAGGAAAAAGAAGAAGCAGGAGAAGGAAAGAGAGAAGAAGAAGCAGGCGAAGGAAAGGAAGAGGAAGAAGCAGGCGAAGGAAAGGAAGAGGAAGAAGCAAGAGAAGGAAAGGAAGAGTCTGAATTCAAACAACCAGTATAAACAACATCAGTGGATAAGGATTATATAATGGGAAAAAGGGGGCGGGGGGAGGCAAGGGGAAGTAGAAAGAGAGAAAGAGAAATGAAAAGAAGAAAAGATAGAAGAAGAAGTGAGTAGCTTTCAAATAATCAGAAAAGACACAACCATACATTAAGTACAATAAAAACATAAAATATGTGTTGCAAGAACTGTTAATAAACAAATAACATATCATGATAAATTCTTTGATCATTTACAAACAACACAGGATAATATTGATATTTAGGTAAAAAAAAAGGTATAACTTACAAAAAAATTACTAGCTACAGCAGCTAAAACAATCAAATATGCATACATGTGGTTTGCAATATTATATTTGTTGCTTGCTTAGTTCATCAAATTTACCTCAAACTGCAGGAACAAACAGCAAGAAGCGCAATTAGGGTTAATCACACATATTTGTGAAACAAAAATAACAAATTAGACACATCAACTGTCTACATAAATTTCTACGGAAACTGAGGTAAAATAATCTTGTATAAAGGAGGAGAAAAACACTGCTAGCATGATCAGTATCACTGCCATTAAAAAAATGTAAGTAAAAGGCAGATGGAAGGGAATGTGGGGGTGGGGTGGTGATGGTTGGGGGGTGGGGGAGGGGGGGGACATGGTATTTGGTAAAAAAAAATTGTCTTCATTTGGGGGAAGGGGGGGATTTCTCGTTTTAGTGTCTTAATTAAGTGATGTGAGTTAAATAAGAGCTTGTTTTATAAAATGTTTTATTTCTATTTTAGAGCATCTTTATGATAGTGACTCGGAAAAATTCCAATTTGAGTTAGGGATCTGTCCAGTGCCTCAGAAGGACTAATGAGGGCACAACTGTTGCTGTTCAGGCATGGATGGAGGTTGGGTGACAGGCTTTATATAAAATGTATTTTATGTATTCTTTTATGTCACTGTATCACTGTCCATGTTCCCTGTGTGGGTTTCGGGGCCCTATTCATTTCAATCAGGTGCCTTGCCAAATGGCGTGGGTGATCATGCCTCTTCACAATCCGCGATCTCCTGCAGGATGTATTAGTTCGTGTGCTGACACACCTCCGTGCCATGCAACAAGACTTTCAAGAATCTTCTCTTCATTGTCTTTCTCGTTGCTCTATTACAGGAAGAAGAAAAAAGTACAGACCCACTGCCCACCCAAAAGCATGTCGTAAGAGTCGACTAATTGGGGGTCCTTTCGTCGGAGTGCTTCTGCCTGAGAAGCACGTAACCAGCAGTCTACATACAAATGAGTCAGATCTGTAAAACGGATGCACACACAACACTCTGGTTCTGGAACAGGACTGCAGTCTTAAAGTGAATGAACAATAAGGGACTTTCCGCCAGAGTGTACAGCTGGTGAACACGAAGAAGAAGAAGAAGAAGAAGACTATCCATGTATGGATGAAGGGTTTTTCCCTTAAAGAAGTAAGACTGCTTTTATTGTACACAATTTATCAGGTAGTAAGGTAAAGCAGGTATAAATTATGTTGTTACTAATTTACAAATGTTATAAAAAAACTGTTTGTTGTACTTAATGTTGAAAAAAATAGATAAGTAAATATTTCAAAATTAACAGCACAAGTAATAAAGATAGTAAATTAATATTTACATTTATAAAAGTTTGCATTTTTTTTTAACATATAAAGGAACTATGGGGATTAAATTTAAAATACTGTTTAAATTTTCATATTTTCATGATGTCTGAAACAAAGCCAAGAAGAGAGTGCAGCAAATGTATTCAAAGCTCCGGATATACAGTTTTTCTAAGGAAACTAAAACAAGAATCAATTTTATTTCTCTGTGTTATATACAAAAAGATGGAAACTAAAAACCCAGCGGCTACAAGCCAGTGGCTAAAGCTTAGTGTAATTAGAGCACCACACATCTCACCACTGTCAGTTCTTGTCATTTGTCCTCTCTTCACACCCATCGGCTGATTTGCCCAATTAATAAGGGAAGCTTGGGTGGGAGTAGGAAAGCCCACATGAACACTCTCATGGCGAAACTTGGCTGGAAGGTTCTGAGGAGCTTCGTTCAAATGCGAAGGGACACTTAAAGCTCGTTGCATTTTTGGCTGCTCAGCTTTCAGAGTACCGTCTCTAGCAGCCGACTGAAAGTGGACATCGCCGGGTGCTGGGATAGCTTCTGGGTAGTTTTTCGCCTTTAACGATTTTGATTTCGATGAAAATTTCAGCATAAACAAAAGACCCTTTTTCTTTACATGCTCAGATTGAGGCGAAGGAGGGGAGGGTGATGCAGGGCTCACAGGTGAAATGGGGGGAGTCAAAGATGATGGAGAAGGAGGAGAAAAACCACCTTTTGAAGATGAACTGAGTTTCTTCAGGTTTGGGAGGTGATGTAATCCAGAAATTTTACGTGACCTTTTATGGGCGCCAGAAGGGTCATGGTCTTCAACTTTGGGATCTAACTCTACTTCTCTTTCTTCCGGAACAAAAATATAATCTTCCTCTTCAACAACAACAGTAGAGCTTCTGTAGATGACTGATGACTGTTCTGCATAAAAAAAGCAATTAATAAACGCACATTAAATTGAATCATTACTTCAACAACAAACAAATGGTCACAAATAAGCAAGCTGTGACAAGAAAGAAGGGTCCTTTCATTATAATTCACCCTTAAGGAAATCTGGAAGTTCCTAGGAAAGTTCAATTATTTCAGGGGTGTTATGGCTTGAAATGAACACGGAAGCTATAATCTGGTGGGACAATAGCAAGAGAATGCCTGGCACGAAAATAAAACTGATCGTTGTAAGCCTCAACTTCCTCAAAGGCACCAACTTACCCTAACCCTAATACCCCTTGAGTTTTGGACTTTCCCAGGAATTCCAGGATTTCCTTTGTTTGGGGGGAATTCAAATTAAAGTACTGAAAGAAGAATTGACAAGAAAGTAGAATCAATGATGTTAATGACAAAAGCAGCGCTGCCGTAATTTGCCAGAGCATACACCAACACCCAGAGCCTGAGCAAATGAATCTAATAAGAACTCTTATGGTTATGAAGCAATTATCTGTCAAGCAACTGCTTTTCTTTACATCAATAAAGTACTTTTAGCAAGAATCTTTATGAAGGAGACATTCTTTTGATTGTAAAACTATTGATATATTATTTGTTATCCCTTTTACCACAAAAAGCGGATAATTAAGTTTCACCATCCATTACAAATTCCTATGAATTAGCCAGAAGTACCAGACAAGCCTATGGATTGTCTTGGTGCTGTCTGTGCCTGCGCAGTACTTAGAAGGGCCAGACATGCTTATATTTACTAAAAACAGCCACGGGGGGGGGGGGGGGGGGGGGGGGGGGGGGGGGGGGGCAGACAGGCTGCAGTGGGCAATAAATTACTTTTTTGTTTAACGTAACTCTGACATTACAACTGGCTCTCGGCCTTCAGTAATCAGACAGTGACTGGGCTCACTATATGCGACACAGCATAAAGTATTTTAATGACAACAGGAAATTAATATGTCAATTATGCACTACAATTGTCTTGTATCATGTTTACTGATTATTTCCCTTCATATTTTTCTAAACCATTAAAAAAAATGTATATAATTAAATTAGAGAAAAAAATGTAATGACATGTACATTTTTATCTTTTTATCTTCTCTTTTTGTTTTGAACCACAAAATTTAATTGTGAAACCAAGAATCTAATCGTGAAACCAAGAATTTAATTGTGAAACCAAGAATCTAATCGTGAAACCATCAGTTATTTGCTAAAATTGATCAATATAAAACCGTTTTGGTTTAAACTTGCTGTTTAATCACGAAACCATTGAAAAGCCTTTTGAAGTTGACCATTGCAAAACTTATTCCCCCCACCATCTATGCCAGAGCTATTCAACTGGCGGCTCGTGGGCTAAATCTGGCCCGGGGAGAAATAGCAAGGGGGACAGCAAATCATTTGCTAGTTGTATTGTATTAATGATCTTTCTATGCTGGGGTAAAAAGCAATGGCAAACTACTGAATGTAAATTTGCCTAGAGAAACCACACAGCAGCCGAGGTTGAGGTCTCTGGCCCATAACTACTACCATTTTCAAAACTGTGGCCCCTGAGAAAAATTAGTTGAATAGTCCTGACCTATGCAGTTCAAATGTGGTATCATCAAAGCTATATCTCCAGTATGCAGACATTAATAATGTAACTACAGCAACTAAGTATTATAAAAACTATATGCACTTTAGCCAGGAAACAATAAAAGATTTAACAAAAAGTAACTAAGTTACTTTTCACCCTGCTATTCATATTCACATAAAGCTTTTTTCTGATGAAATAACTATCAAAGCTTTTTACAGAAAATCACTGCAACTTTTAAATATCCAAAAGTTTATTTTAACATGCGGTCTTCACCCACTGATACTGAGAAGAAATAAAACACCACAAGCATGCAGAGTGAAGGTATCATGCAATGACAAACTGAAGTTGCAACAGAAAAGAAGAAGAAAACATCGAGTTGTGTGTCTTAATGGGGAAATATTGTTATGTCATGCAGGCTGAATTATTTTGTTTTAGTGAATATTTTCATAATTTATCTCAGAAAATAGTTGTATTTCTTATGACAAAAGTCGACAAATTTACCATAACATTAAATAAATTTGTCTCAATATCCAACAAATTTACCACAGAATCCCATAAATTAGCCACAATATCCAATAATTCTACCATAACACCCCAAAAATGTATCAAAATATCCAACAAATTTACCATCACAATAAACCTTACACCACAACATCTAAAATTTACTATTACAACATACAACATACAATTATTTTGGGTGACATGTATGGCCACAGTAAAATAAAATGGTCAGGCAGAAGAAAGACTTTAATTTAAAATATCTAACCACATCTCAGCAAGGAAACAAATACTTTTCGCCATAAAAAATGCCACTGTGGATTTGAAAGAACACTAGAAGGGCATGGTAACGGCTAAGAGGAGCAAGAGGTGACCAGCATGAAGATGGACACAGGACATAGAAACACCTTGGGCAGGAAAGTGTCTGATGCGGGAGAGCTGGCAAGGGATAAAGTTTCTTTTAGGCGTGCTGTGACGGCAGTTATGATAGGTAAAGGGCTTGGCTTTATGGAAATATGTATTAGCTGGCCTCCTTTCAGTCCTACAGGACTGTGCAGTACGGAGGCGCAGATGGATCATTTCGGTCTAAGGAGAATAGCGCTGCGAGCAGTTACCAGGGGATCTGTCTGATGCTCAACAGGGGAAGGATGAGACAGATATACAATCAGACGGTTACTGGTACCATCAGAATTGGAACTCTTCGCTTGCTGCTGAAGATGGGGACTGAGCAATTATAGGAGTGACCCAAGTGCTGTGATGTCGATTCTTAATTCAACATTTATAGTGGTCACTGTTGTGTTTTCTAACTGCAACCATTTATTTAAATTAACAATACTCTGGGTGGAATGAGTTAAAACAGCAACTGTTTGGTACTGAAAGAGTTAAGTAGAATGCAAGTTTGAGCAGATGCCTCTTTCACATGCAACAGACATACCCATAACTATGAAAACGATCGTTTGCAGCCACAAAGAATTCAAGAAGGGATAAAGCAATATTAGGGTTACAGGTTAAGAATCCCAAGCGGCACAGAACTGTTTTACTCACCTGCTAATTTCTGTTGGGCGTCAGTGATTTCTAACTGCAAAGCGGACTTATCCGACTGGGTTAGGTTCATACCCCTGGCCTCCAGCTCAGCAGGAGATAGCATAGCGTACTCTTCTGTAAGCAAGTGAACTAAAAAAAATATTTATATATATATATATATATATATATATATAAATTGTAGCTTTTACATTTCATCATCAATTCTTTAATGGCATATGGAGCTTCAGAGAGGACTTTCCATGCTTTCCTGTCCTGTGCAATCTTTAGCGCAGTTTTCCATGTCAGAGATGCCCCATTCAGGTCACTCTCCATCGTTCATCTCCATGATGTTTTTAAATAGCCCTGATATATGCAGTTCAAATGTGATATCATCAAAGCTTTATCTCCAGTATACTTCTCTTTCCCTCTGGTGTCCATGTGAGAGCTGTTTTGACAGTTATATCAGGAATCATTATCATAACGTGGCAAAGCCATTTCCATCTTCTCTTGATTATCATACTGTCTAGAGTTTCTTGATTTGTGACTTAAAGTAGTTTAGTGTTTGAGATTGTATTTGGCCAGAGAATTTTGATGATTCTATGTAGACGTGTGGTGGAAGTGGATAGCTTGTGTGCATCCTTTTTAGTCATTCACCAGCATTCTGCTCCATAAAGAAGAACTGATAAAATAATGCTCTTGTAGAGTCAAAGTTTCGTTCCTCTGCAGTAACTGCTGGATTTTCCGATTTGCCTCATCCCTCCAAAAACAGCTCTAGCTTTGTTCAGGCGTGACTGTACGTCTTCCTCTGTCCCTCCCAGTATAGCTTTTACATTTAGATATTCAAAAAAATGTTTTCCTGAGGTAAAATTGTTTAAAATGCGGACACAAACAATACACTGTGCAGTGTACTCCCAGGAATACTTTGTTTTTACGTAAACAGAAGGAGTTTTTCATAAATGTGAAGTTACACTGGTCAGGCAGCGATTAAATAAAAAATAAATTGAGACAGACTATGTGATGTGTTTTTTCAGTGGAATTTATTCATTATGTTTTGAAATAACTCTATAATAATGCACTTGACAAGATACAGCTTCTTCTTCTTCTTTCGTTCAGCAGTTTTGTCTCTTGTATAAATTTCACTGTCTTGTTAGTTCATTCAGTGGTCCATAGTGTTTACGTTCCACTGTTGTTCTTTCTGGCCAAAAGGTTGGCCTTAATGTGTCAAATTCGGTGCAGTCCTGGAGTACATGCTCTGCTGTCTGGGGCACCTTTCCACAGGTGCACATGGCTGATACACCTATCTTGAATCTTGTGTACATGTGGTGAGATACAGCTAAATATCAGCTTGGCGATAAATTGTGAAATGTATTGTTTGTGTATGTTATATTTATATTACATTTAGATGTTCAGTCTTTTATACTCAGCAACATTTCTTCATCTCATGTTATAAAAGTTTTCAGATAAATAAACAAATATCTTTCAAAGCAAATGACAAACAGAGAAGCGAATTAATCAGATGTACTTTACAGATATGGAGCCGCCGTGGTGTGGTGGCTAGATGCTCGCATGCAGATTGGAAAGTCCTGACTGAACTAGACATTTTTTCCAAAATGACTGGCTTCCATGTCGACCCAGCCTTGAATGAGAACTGGCTGGAGTCATGGGAAGTAAAGGCAGTCAGCATGGTGGTGACCACATCGCCCACCAAGTGCTGATTGGTCTTTAAATACAGGTTTAGCCCTATGTACCCCATAAGCCTCAAATGAACTCAACCACCAAAGCTTCTGTATTTCAAAAGGAAATATGAAAACATCATGGTCTCATTTGTTGAGCCATCCCTGTGTGGGTTTGGGGTCCCTCTCGGGGGGGGGGGGGGGGGAGGAGGAGGAAGAACATGCACATTAACCATCGAAAAAAGCAACTAATTAAGGCTCTACTGAAACTGGACGTTCTGGGCCAAAAAATGAAAATACCACAGCCTAGCATTAAACCACAATAAATCATGCCAACTGCCTTTTTTAAGGGCAAATGAAGGAACAAAATAAGAATAAACAAACTTTATTTTTCAAACAGTCACAATTTTTTTTAAACAGAATTATGGCAACACAAAGAGTTAACTAACCAATGACAGAAATTTAAATAAACTCCCCAATCAAAGCTTCTGTATCAAAGAATAATACATAAATAACAAATGATACAGATGCAAAAAAAAAAAAAAACTTACCAATCAAAACTTGTGTATCAAAGCATAATACACAACTAACCAATGACACAGAATCAAATAAACTCACCAATCAAACCTTTTGTATCAAAGAACAAAAACATAACTAACCAATGATACAGAATCAAATAAACTCATCAATCAAAAATTGTGTATCAAAGAACACAACATAACTAACCAATGATACAGAATCAAATAAACTCACCAATCAAAGTTTTTGTATCAAAGAACACAACATAACGAACCAATGATCCAGTTTTTAAAAAACTTACCAATCAAAGCTTCTGTATCAAAGAACAATACATGAGCATCTGGATCTCGAGTGTTGGTCTTGACTCCTTGAATCAGCAGGGGAAACCCTGTAGGCTTCATGAAGTCTGCCTTAATACCTTGGTTAGGCAGGTTGTGTGGAGTGTGAATCTGTGATTATAAAGTTAAACGTCGTCAAATAATTAAATACTTTATCCGAGATTATACAGTTCATCCTTTATCCATCATCATCATGTAACGGGTCCTTTGCAGAACCTTGTTCTAATTACAGTCTGCCTCATACAATATCCCACCCACGGTGTCACTTATAGCCTGTACCCATCTTCATACTGATCGACCCCTGCCCCTCATTCCTGGTCCAATTGCCTTTTGCTTTTTACCCAATCTTCCATGGTTCTTGATATGGCCAAAATATTTCAGTTTCCCAGACACACTACTGCTTACAAGCCAATCTTCCTTGACATTCACATGTTTTAGAATGTCAGTATTTCTTTTCTTCTTTGTCCATGCTTGTCTAAGAATCTTTCTACAGCATTTAAGCTCAAAAGCTCTTCTTTTCTTCCTTAAGAATGGCAAGATAGCCCAAGAACAACATCCTTATGTGGCTAGCTGGCACATTGCAGTTTACAGCTAGTCTGTGATATCTTGCCTTTCGGCCAAACACATCTAATTTCAGCAAATCCTTCATTAGTTACCTTTAACTATTTGTTTGTTGAGGCGCAGTGGGTCCGTTCTTTTTGCCCTTCAAAGTTCGGCTCCTGAGCCGATGCAAGGAATACCATTTTCAATAAACCATCAATAAACAATTTTTTCAATATCAAAGCAAGGCTTCCCTATTTTAAACTTGAACAAAGAAGACACAAACAACAGACTGCACAATTTATTGCCTGGAAAAATGTATGGTATCTCATCAAGGGCATACTATAGTAACCATTATAAAAATGAAGCAAGTAAGTGAATACTTTATAACTGAAGTACAAATTCAACAACAATCAAATGCAATGACAAAATCAAGTGATAAAAATATTTGTCAAAATACCAGCAATACACTATACAAAGACTCCTTCAATTTTTAACCATTAAAAAAGATATGTGACATGTGTAACCAGAATTTTGTCCAAACCTCAAACTTACATTAAGTTTCTGTTGAGCCAGGTTTCTGAATGTTGCCAAGTTCCTTCTCTTCAATGCCTGCGCGAGGGTAATGCTAGGGTTGGTCAAAGCCTCCACGGGAGTTGCATTCTCATCACAATTGCTAAGAACGTCTTCTGCAGTCTTCCCATCAATGACTCGATCAAGGTGACCTGAAGACAGCCAAACATTTAAGCTAAAAAACAAAAAATTTAAATAAAAAAAAAAATTCTGGGCTGTCTCCGCAATAAAGACTGACTACAGTGTAAAACTGTTGACTTTGAGAGTATCATCCACAATGAAGACTGACTACAGTGTAAAACTGTTGACTTTGAGAGTATTATCCGCAATGAAGACTGACTACAGTGCAAAACTGTTGACTTTGAGAGTATCATCCGCAATTAAGACTGACTACAGTGTAAAACAGTTGACTTTGAGAGTATCATCCGCAATGAAGACTGACTACAGTGTAAACTGTTGACTTTGAGAGTATCATCCGCAATGAAAACTGACTACAGTGTAAAACTGTTGACTTTGAGAGTATCATCCGCAATGAAGACTGACTACAGTGTAAACTGTTGACTTTGAGAGTATCATCCGCAATGAAAACTGACTACAGTGTAAAACTGTTGACTTTGAGAGTATCATCCGCAATGAAGACTGACTACAGTGTAAAACTGTTGACTTTGAGAGTATCACATGGTGAGGTCCCAATCTCTTCCAGGGTGCGACTCTCATACCCTTGTCTGAAAACGACAAAAACTTTTTTTTTTCAACCGTTCACTGAAGGCAACAAACCATAGTACTCTTCAAGGATCATGAAATTTTGACTACATTTGTTGACCTCTAAGCCAAGGAGATACACAAACTTAAAGCTAAACATGTTTTTCTTGCTGTTGTTGTTGTTGCTATCATCATCAACATCACTTTGTGCCCTGTTGATAAGTGACAGCGGTCACGATTTCCCCTATCACACACAATTACCAGAAAAATGGATAAGGCCAGTGCTCTTGTTTCTCCACATCGATGCGGCTAATCAATTTAGGTCATTTATCTCTTGTCTTCCCCTTGCTTTTTTACCCCACAACTACATGACCTGCGAGTAAAGCACGGTGAAGCATGCCCACGCCACCTTCCAGGCCGAGATAAGAGACAATATAATCAACTCTTCATGAGAACAATCAGTAGAAGTACCTTGGAGTAGTTGCTGCACTGGGGGACTAAGCACGTATGGGAATGCCCAATGTGCAGTGATATTGACTGTGATAACATAACATCATTTTTCATAAATCTTGCCATTTATAACCAAGCTCTCCAGACCATTCTTTCTCATAACATGTATCAACAAACACATACAAGCTGATTTTCCTAAACAGTTTACGGCTGTCTCGAGGAGGCGGACTGTCTTGTTTGATTTTCTATAATTCAAATTAAGTTCCTCTATCTTTCTACTTCTTTCTATGAGTGTCAATCAATACATGTTCTGTTACTTTATTAATTAATAATTTTTTAACGGCCTCACGGGGCC